AGATGACCTTTCTCAGTAAAACGCGAGGGACAAAGGTCACACTTGTATGGCTTTTCACCAGTGTGTGTCCTCAAGTGAACGACAAGATGACCTTTTTTAGTAAAACGCATTTTACACGTGACACACTTGAATGGCTTTTCACCTGTGTGTGTTCTGATGTGATTGACAAGATGACCTTTCTCAGTAAAACGCGAGGAACAAAGGTCACAGCTAAATGGTTTTTCTCCTGTGTGGTACAATCTATGCCTCTTTAGATGACTCGTTCGCGTAAAACTCTTCCCGCACACTTCGCATTTGAAGGCCCCGTTGCTGAGCTCGGCCGAGTTCGCCTGCAGAGCGCCACTGGTATTGGTTTTACTTTCACACCCGCTTTTGGTGTACTTCCTGCCGAGCGGCTTCTTCCGCAACACCAGCGAGGCCTTCTGGGCGTCCTGCTGGTTGATCTGCACCGACTGAGCGTCAACGGTAGAATCTCCCTGCCTGGTTGCAGCTGCAGCGCCGAGCGAGGCGCCGAGGGAAGACGCCACTTCTTCATCGCGCTGCTCGGGCAGCACTTCGCCGCCCACAGACCCACCCATCACTGCATTTACCGCGTGGTCCGGCTGGTCCTGCAGCGAGAAGCACGACGTCACCACCAGCCCCAGCTGATCGTCGTCGTGCTCCCTTTTGAGCTCGTCGAGCTCAAAGCCCTCGTTGACGGACACCTCCGCAGGATCCTCCCCGAGGGACGCCGCGCTGCTGGGCGGGGAGCTGGGACCGGCACCTGCAACAAGAGCACCGCGTCAGACACCTGCGTGCGCGTCCTGAGGACCACCACAGAACCAGCATGCACGAGCAAGGAACGAAATGAAAGTGTCGACGGGTTGATGAAATCTGTAGACATGAGTTTTTATTCTTAATACAACAATGAACTTACAAAAATGTCTTAATAACAAATACCGTTTCAAAAATATCTAATCTGACTTTACAAATATAAATGAATTCCAAAGAGATAACGTTAAATTGAAATACAAATTCTTTTGTGTCTATTCAGGCTTGATTTTTGATTAAAAGCCTTGTGACACACATCACACGTGTGTGGCCTTTCACCAGTGTGTGTCTCCTCATGTGAACGATAAGATGGCCTTTCTTATAAAAACTCGTTTGACACACGTCACACTTGTATGGCTTTTCACCAGTGTGTGTCCTCATGTGGCTGATAAGGCTTGACAAATATAAATGAATTTAAAAGATAACGCTAAATAGAAATACAAATTGTTTTGTGTTTATTGAGCCTTGATTTTCGAGTAAAAGCCTTGTTACACACATCACACGTGTATGGCTTTTCACCAGTGTGTGTCCTCATGTGA